GTTCCATTTGGAAGGTATGTGTCTGACCTGGTCAGGGGACATACCTGCTGAGACCTGAGTGGACTCTCAACCACCTCCTCTGCTTCCACTGGTACCCATGACTGTGGGTACCCTATGCACAAAAGTGACATCAAGGAGTGGGGGGAGCACTCAGCTAAGGGCTTGCGGTAGTGTGTGCCTGCCCATGGAAAATCCTGAACATGTAGGCTCCTGGAGATTAGGGTACCATCTCCTCTTCAATAAGTCTTAGCACCTAGCACATTAAGTTCCATGTAGCAGCCCTCTGTCTTCAATTGTAGCCTTACCACCAACCACTGGTTAAAAGGTTGTTTAGACCCCCCCAAAAAAGACTCAAAGCCCCCATTAGACCTACAAACTATACTAGAAGATCTCTCTGAATTCCCATTTAAGCCTATTGCAGAAGTGGATATCGGGCACCTCATTAACCTTCCTTATAGCCAATACATTAGCTCATAGCGTTTGCGAAATTGAAGCTTTTCAGTTAAAGAACCTTTCCTCACTCTGTTGGGTGACGGTCATCCTGAAAATGGACCAATCCTTATGACCAAAACTAGTTTCTAATTTTCACAGGGTCCAAGAAGTGGTACTGCCCTCCTTCTGCCAACATGCGCCCTCGCCGAACAGAGGAAAGTTTGGTTTGTTGGATGTCAGGAGATGCTTTCTTTCATACATTGAAAGTATCAGGTCCTTTAGAAAATCCAATGAGCTCTTTGTTCTCTTCCATGGTTGAAGAAAAGGGTCCTAAAGCATCAAAATGCATGTAGTTAGATGGATAAGACTAGCCATGAGCTGATATTACACCGCAGCAGGCAAAGACGGCCCTCTCAGCATCACTGCTCATCCTACACAGTTTCTCCACTTCGTGAGCTGAGAGAACTGGTACCTTCATAGAACAGAATTTTTTTTTTGTGCTTGATCAGCTTTCTTTAGTGTACTACCAAGGAAAGGAAGTAGTGCTTTTTTACATAGTTTACCTGGTGTTTAGCTTTTCAGCTGCATTGTTTTTTTAGGTTGAGCAGTTCAGAAAAAATGTTTTTTTTGTTGTTTTTTTTACACTTTCTAGATCAAAATATGGAAGTTGTAAAATAAATGATTTTTACTACCTAAGCTGATTTTTCTTTTATTGTTATAAAAGGAGGATTTCTGCCTTTTATAGTGTATTTCCACTTTTGCCAACCAAATTGGGATAACACCTGTTTTTTGGGGGGCTTTTTATTTGATATACTGTAGGTTCCCATTCACATATAAGTTGGTAACAAGGATGCATAGGGGTTTAGACAGTGCCACATCCTAATATCAATGGATAAGAAAGAACAGAAAAAAATGACTTTAGGCACTGCCATGATGACCACTTCAATTTATATATAGAAAACATATTTTGTGTACATTATTACAAATGTATAGCAAGGTTAAAGTCATCAACATACTGTATATAATCTTATTTACAAAACTGTGAAATTGTATGCCTATCATGAACCTGCACCTCCTCAACTGGTATACAATAAATAGTTAACCAAGTAATGTTTATGCGATATCATTAGTATATGATCATGATAATTATAGATATTTTTCCATGGGAGGGTGCTCAACTCTTGCTTTACGTGTTTTGCGGTACCACCGCTTTTTTAGGAGCTTATGGGCATACACTATAATGTAAAAACAAGCTGTGACGGGGGATGTGGGAGACACAGAACACACACAGAGACCAAGAGTGGTTTTTAGGACCCTTGACAAGGGGGTTGTTTATTAGAGGTTCGCAACATTAGGGTACGGCAAGTGTAGTAGCAATCCGGGCAAAACAAACGGCTAAAACAGCAAGGGATAGCAAGGGTAAAGTCCAGGGGCACAGGGCATCAATCCAGGCACAGCAAAGGGGTAACAGCAACCAGGTACATCAAAAGATGGTCACGACTCACACTTAGGCTGGGTTCACACCTAGGCGTATCGAATATGCGCGTTTGTCGTGCGTTTCGTGCCGTGCGGTTTACCGCGATTCGCGGCAACAAAAGCACGACAGAAGCGCGTTTCCGAGTGCTACTTAGCTGTATCCCAATGGATACGGGTGGCAAATACGCCCCAAATAAGCTCCTGTACTTCTTTGGGCGTAGGGCGTTTTGCAGCGCGTAGGAACGCGCTGTAAAACACCCAGGTGGGAACCATGCCCATAGGCAATCATTGGTTTTCACATGTTGAGCGTTTTACAGAGCGTAGGAACGCGCTGTAAAACGCCCAGGTGTGAACCAGGCATCAGGTCACTCTGCAGAAGACAGATCCACATGGGATGGTAAGGCAGGAGGCTGTCTGCATAGCTGGTCTGTGGAGCCTCTTAAGTGTTTGAGCAGGACAACAGTTCACACCTAGTAAGGCACTGCAAGTACCAGTAGTCCCTAACACACATTCAGAGCTAGATGTCCGAGCAGTCCTCATCTTCTAGTTTCTTTCCAATGAGACCCTCAAGCCATGAATCTCATGTCTAACTCTGAAGTATAAAGAACCTCTGTCTAGTCTGAGCACGAGGCTGGTAATTGTACCTGGAGTCTTGGCATTCTGCTACTGGGGCCAAATTGCTGGCGACAAAAAGTCTAACTTTGTCCTGGTTTAGGATGCAACATATCCTGTGCTTCCTAATGAGAGGAGCCTGATCTCCAGACCCCCCTGTGTGAAAGACTACATGGATAAATTAAGTAGACTGATTAACATGAGGCCTTTTGAACATTTGTTCTTAGAGGTTGTTAATTTCCAAACACATCTATTATTTCAAAGCTACTATTTCTGATCTTCGTTACACAAGCTTTATCAGTAACTCTTAAAAAGTAAACATTGATATGCTAAGTTTCAGCCAAGTTAGAATATATACATACGTTGCTGTTCACAAATTTATCCTACATCATGGCTAAAAAATAGATGCAAAACAATATTAAATCATCACACAGGTGGAAGGAGCGATGCAACAAATCAACCAGGTGGGCGTCCAGGCACACAAGACCAGAATTGTCCCTAATTCCATCATAGCAGACAATAGCAGAAATGCTCAATGTAATCTCAGCAGTATCTCTAAGGCCTAGTTCACACCAGAAACTGCATCACAACTGCATGCGTCTGCGCAGTTGCACTGCAATGCGTTTGCAATGCGTTTTTTAACTGCACTAAAAAATTCTAATTAGGCATGTAGGTCACTTCCTATTCCTGTCAGAGCATTTTCTATGTTTGTTTTGTTCGTTTGGGAGCTCAGTCATGCTTTCTTGGTTGGCTGGCTTGGTGCTAGTTTTGACTTAAGCCATTCTTTTTTTATGTGTTCCGTTGCGTTTGATGCGTTTTGATGCAGTTTAAGTAGGACAAGCAGTACTTTTTCTGACTGCAGTTGAATCAACTGCAATGGTGTGAATTAGGCACAAGAAAGCCCATAAGAAAGCATTGGGATGTATTTTTAACTGCGCAGTTGAAATAAACTGACTGCATCACAACTGCATATGGTGTTAACAGGCCCTAAGGGCAATCTGATAAGCTATTAAATACGTTTAAAACAACAAACAAACCTACCAGGACGTATGTTGTAAAGGAGCTTGTACAAAGGTATAAGAGTATAGATGTAGACATTAGTTGGGCCTCCCACATATATGGTTGTGACCAGGATTTATTGGAAGAACACCAGAATTGTTTGTAAAGTAGTTGGATTGCTGCCCTGTGCCCCTGGACTTTACCCTTGCTATCCCTTGCTGTTTTAGCCGTTGGTTTTACCCAGATTGCTACTACACTTGCCGTATACTAATGTTGAGAACCCCTAATAAAGAACCCCCTGGTCAAGGGTCCTAAAAAACGCTCTTCGTCTGTGGGTTCTGTGTCACCCACATCCCCCGTCACTACTTGTTTTTACATTATAGTGTATGCCCATAAGCTCCTAAAAAAGCGGTGGTACCGCAAAACACGTAGAGCAAGAGTTGAGCACCTCCCAATGGAAAAATATCTATCATTATCATGATTATATACTAATGATATTGCATAGAAATTACTTGGTTAACTATTTATTGTATACCAGTTGAGGAGATGCAGGTTCATGATAGGCATACAATTTAACAGTTTTGTAAATAAGATTATATACAGTTGGGCAAAAAAGTATTTAGTCAGCCACCAATTGTGCAAGTTCTCCCACTCAGATGAGAGAGACCTGTAATTGGCATCATAGGTAGACCTCAACTATGAGAGACAAAATGAGAAAACAAATCCAGACAAATCACATTGGCTGATTGTAAATAAGACCTATATATGTTGATGATTTTAACCTTGCTATATATTTTTAACAAACAATGTACACAATAAAATATATTTTTTATATAGAAATTGAAGTGGTCATGGTAGTGCCTAAAATGTAATGTTTTCTGTTCTTTTTTATACAGACATATAAGTTAAAATAACATTTACATTAAAAAATGCTTTTTGCAGTTTAAATTGGATTTACTTGGGTTAGTTGCTTGACTTCTTAAGGGTTTAAAATTCTACTTGCTTCTCCTCCTTTGTAATGTTAGAAGGAGATGTGAGAGATTAAAGGAATAAAAGCTTGGCTTCTCCATTGTATGTTATTGGGAGAAACAATCTTCAAATTTCAGTCCTAAGTCTTTCTATAAGGACAGATAACTGTGAAGGTGCTCCATAAAACATTGAATCAGCTATGTTGCCTGCTGCAACAAAATATCTAAAATGTAAGAAATAAGATTTTTTCATTATGCTGTGTGTCTAGGAACACATAACAAACATAGAAGGGTTTCTTCAATTTTAAATGAAAAAGAGGAAATACACTTCACAGTTATAATACTGCTAAAAACTATGATCTGGTACGGGATAGCATTTGTACCTTTTAGCAACTGAAGTGTGCTGTAACCAAAGCCTTTGTGTTTTGTGCATAAAAAAATCTCCATGCCTATGTTGTCTGTTCGTACCATACTTGAGTGTTAACTCTAGTTTCGTTGTTTCTTTCCATGAAGCATACTGTTGAAGTCCTTGGCCTTCTGTCTGATGAAGTAGAAACAGAGCTTGTTGCTCCTGGGGAAAATCTGAAGATCAGGCTCAAAGGCATTGAGGAGGAGGAAATTCTACCAGGATTTATACTCTGCGATCCGAACAACCTTTGTCATTCTGGACGCACATTTGATGCCCAGGTGAAAACTTCATGTTTGCTAATCTGCCTAAAAAATGCTTCATGAGCAAAAAGTCTTCCAGATCTAATTACCCATTAGTTGCTTGGCTGTCATGCTGTCCCCTTTGCTTAAGCACTTTTGTCCCAAATTCAGAATAAGCTTGCCGATAACTTCTGACTTTCTTGACCTACATACATGTTCCAGTTGAAGCCAGAAGGTCAGTATAAGGGACAAAAAAACCCCTAGGGTTTTCAGTAGGTCAGCAATAGGTCCCATGTTCCCCTTGGGATATTGTACAAGCTATGCAGATAAAAACATCTAAAATAGTAAAGCATTAAATATTGATAATGGATACAAAATCATGATTGTCTGCTCTAAAAATGCTTCCTTTTAATAGTCTAAGGCCCTGGGCATTATTTCAATGATGTGTAGTTGTGGAGTACCGTATACATATAAATGTTTCTGTTACATATTAATAATGTGTATGGAAGCTGTTGGGTTAAGATCACTGAAAGCATTATGAACATACACCCATGGGATGTTGGTTAATTGTCATGAAATAATTACAAAGATGATGCAGAAAATGACCAAATAAATTGCAGGCATACTCTATTAACCCTTTTGCTGCCACCAATGTGTGGGATTCATCGGCAGCAGCGGGCCCCTGTAAACAGACACAGCCGTGCGGGTATCTATCTATCTATCTGTGTAAAGCAGACCTTCAGCTTTACACCAGAAGCATTTTGGGTGGTATTGAAGACGCCTGATTGCTTCCAAGTTCCAAGAGTCGGTAAATGTGTGTCCTTCCCTCCAACACCTCAGACTGTTGCTCTTTTAGCTGCTGTTGTAGGTTTATAGCAGAATCCCCAAGTGCCCCTTCATTTGGAGGAAATTTCCCTCTTTTGGGAGCAAATCCCACTGTCTTGTGTTCCTCCCGCCATTTGCATATATGTATAGACAATTTTTTTTAAAAACAACACTTTTTAATTAACGAAAGTATTCTACTACACCACCTTCATTATTACTCTTGCTTTTTAAAAAAGCCAGTATAAAGAAAAAGTAGTGGTAAACAAATTCATGTGTGGGTTGCGCTAAAAGGTGTCCCTAAAAGGAAGTCTTTCACCTTCAGGTTTTACTGCCACTTGGAGGAGAAGTGAACACTGGCAAACAAAAAAAACTGTAGGCAAACCCAATATTACCCTTTCTACTGCCAGAATGCCTCAGTTGTTTGCAAGTGTCCTAGGATGTACATCTTCTCTTCAGCTCTGGTTTGTGGAAGACTAACCTATTTTCTCTTTCGTTCATTGAAAAACGCAGCTGAATCTTCATTTTACTGAACGGTTATATGCTGCTTGCAGGAGTAGGACTCTAGGCAGATAAACAACAAAGCTGGTGGCTCAACCCCCCACTTGTTAGTGGTAGCTCAGTTGTTTTGCCTAGCGTTGAGGAGTAAGGACATGGCTTCCTGCTGGGGATCTTAGTTCTATTCTTTTAGTTTATTTTCCCCTTCGTCTTCCAGAACAGCTTATGAGAGATGGGCTCCACCCCTTTTAGTAGGAAACACGTCACCCCTAGTTGTTTTAAAAAGCCTGCCTCCTAGCGCCTCCGTTTTTTTGTGTTTCCTCCGTCAGGGGGAGACATGTCACCGGAACGGTGGGGGGATAGGGGAAAGGTACCCCAGTATTCCCTCTCAGTGGGACCCTTGTGAGGGTCAGAAGTACCTTAGTATGCCGCCGGTGCGCTCCTCTGTCAGTAGGGGTTTCCTCACCAGATCCTTCCTCCTCTTCAGTGCCTGGGGAGGGCCAGTACTGGAACCTGCGTTACCCCCTTGGCTGAATCCTTGGACCGAGTGGCTCAGCAGTCAGGGGCTGCCGGTCTGGGGATTCCGGGAGGTTCTCCACGGCCGGATCGGAGGGCCGACTAGGTCACTTCTGGTGCGGGTGACGCACTTCCGGGCGCCGCAGGCCTTGCGTTCCAGGCCTCGTTTCCGGCGGAGAGGAAGGGGGATGGGCCTGGCTGGTGCACGAGGCGTGATCACAGGCTTATCTGTGAGAGATCGCCGGTGGGACTACTAGTTTTTCCCCAAGATGAATCCTGTTCCTCTACAGCCCGCAAAGATGGATATGTGTCCTTCAGGCACCAGCTCTGCTCTGGTAGGTGGATACTTCCACGTATTTCTTCCCTGTAGTTCTGACTGTAGCTATTTCCTCCACCTGGGGCTCCTTGGTGTTGGGCTTAGGGTGTTGAGGGGGCACTGTGGCTTGTCTGGTATGAGGTTAGCAGGAAGTTAATTCTGCTTATTCTGTGTTGCAGGTCCATGTTTCTAAGGGCAAGGCGGTCCCAAAAAGGAAGTGTGCACTTTGCTCCTTTAAAGCTGGGGTCTGATTGGAAGAAGCCACTCTGTCAAAAATGCATTGAAGGAGTGTGCAGGGAAGAATCTGCATCAGCATGCGGTGGCTTGTTGTCCACTGTTAGGGAGGGAAGAGTTGGTTTCTACTTTTTCCTCTTTTAGATCCCCGATAGCAGATTTGAGACCACCTGCAACACAGATTTTGGTGCCCAGATCTCCGGATCAGGCTCAGCTTCTCCAGACAGGGTCAAGATCAGGAGAGGTCTGTCGCAGAGAGCCAGAGGAGTATAGCGTCGCTGCATCCTCTCATCAGGGATCATCTGCTGAAGAGGACAGTGACAAAGACGTTAGTCCTCCTACCTCTAAGTATAAGTTGTCTCTAGAAGAGGTAGATGAATTGTTGAGGGCCGTGTATGATACCCTGGATATTCAGGAGGAAAAAGTGCTGCTGTCTAGGCACGATTTAATCTTCCAGGGGCTCCAGCAGCCAAAAGCTAGAGTTTTCCCGGTGCACAAAGTACTTGCGCATACAATCTGTAAGGAATGGGCGGAACCAGAGAGGAAGCCTCTTTTTTCCAACAGCCTAAAGAGACGTTTTCCCTTTGATGAAGACGCATCACTGCCGTGGAACAAGGTTCGAAAAATTGATGCATCATTGTCAAAGGTCTCAAGGAAGTCAGACCTAGCCTTCGAGGATATGGGGGTACTTAGAGACCCAATGGACCGGAAGGCTGAGGTACTGCTAAAAAGGGTGAGGGACTCTGCTAGCACAAGTCTCAGGCCTGCCTTGGCAACAACTTGTGTTTCCAGAAACCTGGAATATTGGCTTAACCTGTTGAAAAATCACATGCTGGCAGGTACGCCAAGGGAGCAAATCATTGATTCCCTTCCTATGCTGTTCAAGGCCATTGCTTTCATGGCAGATGCTTCAGCTGATTCAGTTAGAATGTTCTCTAGGACGGGAGCCTTGGTCAATTCTTCTCGCAGGGCGATTTGGTTAAAGGCCTGGGAGGGGGACGCGGCCTCAAAATTGAGGCTTTGCAATCTCCTGTTTAGTGGCAATCTTCTTTTTGGGCTTGAATTGGAGGCTGTATTAGAACGTACGATAAGAAGAAGCCCTTTCGTAGATTCTTTAAGGGGCCCAGGAACAAGGGTCAGAATGCGAAGGGGCAACAGCCCAAAAAACACTGGACGGGGCAGAAAGGCAAGGGAAAGGGGAGTATTTTTACTAACCCTCCCTCCCAAGCTCCAAAACAGCAGTGACTTCTGTGTGAGGGGAAGGCTAGCGGGGTTCCTCACTCGCTGGAGGGAGATTACTTCCAATCTTTACATACTCAATCTCATCCAAGAGGGGTACAGGCTGGAATTCTGCAACCCCCACCCCATTGTTTTTTTATCACAAATCTCCCGAGGAATGCATCTCGAGCAGACGCTCTTTGCCTTCTGTTGGGAGAGTTGGTGGATCAAAAAGCCCTTATTCAGGAGAAGGGTCAGGGCCTGTACTCTCACGTTTTTGTTGTGCAAAAGCCGTCAGGGAAGTACAGGTTGATCCTAAATCTCAAACTCTTGAATTTAGTGACAAGAGGTTTCGTATGCACTCCATCTTTTCGGTCCGGAACCTGTTGCAAGAGGGTTCCTTTTTAGCGACTCTAGATTTGACAGATGCCTATCTCCACATCCCCATTCACAGGACGTCACAATTTTTTTTTACGCCTGGCGGTAAGAGTAGGTCAAACGGTGGTACATTACCAGTTCAGGGCACTTCCTTTCGGGCTGTCCTCGGCCCCTCGCATTTTTACGAAAGTGTTGGGCGAGGCAATAGCTCCTTTACGGATGCAGGGGATTTGCATCATTCCGTTTTGGGACGACATTCTACTGTCCCGCCAGCTCAGCGGCTAAATGCACCAGAGACCTAGAAGTTACGCAGGTTTGGTTGCAGGAACTGGGATGGGTAGTGAATTTCCAAAAGTCCAATCTTGTCCCCTCTCAAGTTACAGTGTTTCTAGGGTACATCCTGGATACGGTGAAGCAGAGGACTTTCCTTCCGGAAGAAAAAATTCTGAAAGTGGGAACTGCGGTAAGCCACTTACAGACAAATTGTCCCAGATCCTTAAGGGAGATCATGTCTGTGTTGGGTCTGATGACATCTTGTCTACCGGCCGTTCAGTGGGCAAGATTCCACCAGAGGGGTCTGCATGGGTTCCTGTTGAGAAAGTGGGACCATTCACAGGATACCTTTTGGATGCTGCGGTTGTTGTTCCTCCTTCTGTGAGGAGGGGCTTATGGTGCTGGAGAAGCCGAAGTTAACTGTCAGGGGGTCTTCAATGGTCTTTTCCCACTGCCATATGGTTGACCACGGATGCAAGTGCCTGGGGTTGGGGAGCACACCTGCAGGATCAGATGACTCAGGGACAGTGGTCCCAGCGGGAGGCAAGAATGTCCTCCAATTGGAGGGAGCTGAGAGCGGTTTTGAACGCGGTTCTGGCGTTTCAGGATCAGATACGGCATCAACATCTGCTAGTACTCTCGGACAATATAGCCACTGTGTGTTACCTAAACAAACGGGGGAAACCAGGAGCTCTTACCTTCAGGCCATTGCGAGAGAAATCTTAATTTGGGCAGAAGTGAATCTGCATTCCATTTCGGCGGTGCACCTAAAGGGAACGCAGAA